CTGTGACCTAGATGGGTGTCTGTGACCTAGGAATTGTAACTGTGACTCGTTGAAATAGAGTTGCGACAAGTAAACGTTTTGATTTTTTTCAATCTGCGATGGGGGAAGGGTGTTTATGTGACTGTGACCTAACTATTGTGGTTCTTTTTGGTGTCTGTGACCTTACTATTGACCTGTGACTTTGAAATTGATAATTTGTAACTTAAAAAAGGAATCTGTGACCTATAAAATTTTAAATTTGTGACCTCGAAATAATTTGTGATCTACAAATTTTTTTATCTGTGACCTCGAAATAACCCGTGACCTACAAATTTCTTGATCTGTGACCTCGAAAAAGTCGCCGGATCGGAGCAGTCACCGGTCGCCGGAGTAGTAGTCGGAGCAATGGTGGTAGTGTAGATGGGGTGAGGTGGGGTGAGGTGGGGTGGGGTGATTTTATTATATTACAGTTAAATATTTAATTTAATATAATAATTATGAAATGTAATTAATTAATTTCAGAAAAACCTGATTTTTGTAATTTTAAACTATTGGGCCTGATTTTTAATTTTGGAATAGTAAACACCTGACCCATAAACTTTTCCCGCTGGATTATATGGAAAACCTAATTCATACAATGCTTACCCAACCCACTTTACACCTATTTATAATTGTAATGATATTTTATAAACATACTTCTACTGTGTATTTTGTATTTGGGATACAGCCCCGTCTATTCCCAAATGTAATAAGGTTCTAACTACATATGTAACAACGAAGTACTAAACTTACAAAACCGTCAAAAATTGTATAGAACAGCATTGAGTTTACATCTGCAAGAAATCATCTTCTTTTACTTGCTGCCTTGCTTCCTCTTCCTCCCAGAATCAAAACTAGCAGAGCAAGTTTCTCGAAAGAAGTCAGCAGCATAAGGTCGATAATACCCGTCGACATAATCATGATCCATGCTGTTAATAAGTAAACAAAAAATGCTGATAAGATTGCCCCCGCCCACGAAAGCTGAAGCAAACAAAAACAATAACATTGGTCAGGACTTAGGAAGCCTGTTGCAGTTTGCTGGAGCCCATCCTATCAGATGTTTCTCGTTGTCATAAACCACCAATTTATCTTGCAGAGAAACGTCTACAAATGGAAGATTTGATGACAAATTAGGTTGCTAAATAAGAATATCCATGTAGGAATATATCAGTATCGAGTTTCATACCTCCAATAATGTTGAGATTTCCTAGCCCGACCTCACTTCCGTTCAAGATACCTAAGCACACATTGCCATGTTCCTGAAAAGAAAAATTTCAGTTCAAGCTTAGCTATTTTCATTGCTATGTGAGCATGTTTGGCTGTGTTTAAAAGTTACTTTTCCAGAAAGTATGATAAAATTCACTTTTGAAAGCAGAGAAATTAAATTTGAAAACTTGGAAAAATAGGTACAGCAAAACATGCTCTAAGTCCTAATTCCTACTCTTACCATAGCAATAATAAAATCAGAAACAAGCAATGCATGTATACATTCACAGTTGTTCACTCTCAATCTGTGAGAGGCGTCTTCTTGGCAGCTTTAGGTTTTCACTTAATGAAGAACAGGAGTATAAGGCGATCTAACGCTTCTCGCACACCAAAAAAACTACCATTGTGAAATACGTTGAATAGTAGGAACATTAGGGCGACCTTATAATAGATGTATGGGATATCCAATATGGCCAATACCGTAAAAATAGAATGATTAAGCTCCACAGGTCCAACAGTATCTATATAACTGCCGAGAAACACAAAACTGGTTGAAAGAGTATCTCACCGTGACAATGAGATAAGCTTGCGGCTGCAGTTGAAATTGGACATTTTTGCCATTTCTGAAGCTCAACACCAATGGCTTGAAGTAATTAGCGGCATCACGGATGGATTTGAAGGGCTTTGCACTTTTCCAGCAGACTGGGAGGCTTTTGTCCTCCACCGCAGTAGTTAACTTCCCATTTATGTCTTTATTTATCTTAAAAAAGAGAAATTACAGTTAGCTCCAGGCACGCAGATAGAGAACTTCAGAAAAAATTTGTAACAGCTCGACCTCACCATAGAAACTAGGGCACTGTAAGCTTGAAAACTGAAGTAACTGTAGGTACTGCCGCTGTCAAGAACTATTGGAAGGCCCTTAATGTTAGTAGCTTGGCCACCAAACTGGAGGTCGGCCAGCCCCAGAGAGTAGTGTTTCCTGAAAATTACAATCAAACCCCATGGATACAGCATATCATTTTATTTCCGCTCTGATGCGCTAAGAGCTCGTTTGATAAGATGAACAGTAAAGTACTAAATAGTATTAAAGAAGATACGATCATATCTAATATACTATTCAATACAGTCTAGTATTGCCTGTCAAACATGTTCTAAAGATGACCAACATAACTTAAAAGGGCTTACATTTGGCTCAAAATTGGTGCCCAAATGATCCCCGAAGGCGGTAGAAAATCATCTCCAAAGAAAAGAAACCCCCCACCTTGCCCACTTAAACAGTGACCCACAACATTTCTTGTCAGGCCCATCTCGCTCAATTGTGTAACAATGCTTGTTTTGCCACTGCCAAGACCAAGGACTCCATCTGTGTAAGGTGGATGAATAGAATTCGGAACTTCTTGATTGTATCCACATCTGCACAACAGTGTCAGGAAAGAAAAATAAAATTACTTGGATAAAAAGTCAGACTTTAGGTTTTCTATTCCGATCATGATTCTTTGATATAACTATGAGATGACAGCCTTGTAATTTGTCGTCTGAAATAAAAGGATCGTGATTTTTTAAGTAGAGATGGCATTCAAGAAGAATGCTTCGCTAATTAGCTCAACGGCATGCTTATAGATAACTAAATTTTAAAGCAAATAACTTTTTTGTTGGTAAACTCAAAATAGGTCACATGATGCTGCCAAAGCAGCTAATAAGCTGCATATGAGCTTAGCCAAACATGCTCTTTCATATTAAGATGAGATTTACTTTCAAAATAAGTAACTTTTTTTAACTTAGGAGTAAGACAAAAGTAAATATCCAAACATGTTTGGAAACAAAAATTGCTTAAAAGTAACCTTTACTTATTTTAACCTTAGCCAAATATGCATACAAGACAATCAGCCCTCCAATATATCAAAAGAGAGAAAAGCGAATTAAAGACTGATGACAGGAATATAACTCACCCGAATGCTAGACGAGGAGCTAATACACTACCATTGGAGAACCTAAAAGGAAACGAGTCCAAGACCAGCACACCCAGAGATGAACCTAGATCAGCATAAGTCACCTCATAGTCACATTGCTCGGGGGTTTCACAATTATGGTTCCCAGGCCCGTGAAGTGAGACACATAGGGGATGCTCACACGTGATGAGGTTTTTGTTGGGTTTATAAAGACCGTGTGGGGACTGGGAAAAAAAAAATTGGGAGATTAGCAAAATTTTGAAAATAACAGCTTATTAAACAGATTTATAAGTTTAAAAAAAAGAGTACCGGTGTGCATTTAGTGCAAGGTGCATCACACTGGAGCCAAGTGAGGTCACTGCCAGTATCTATGTCTAGAAAGTAAGACTTCGGAGGTTGGCCAACATTGATCGTTACATAATAATACCTGCATGAAGGATACGCAGTGAACAATCCAACTTTATATCGAGTGATAAAAACGGATCTTATGAACATGTTTTCCAGTGAAAGCCACTGGGAACTATGGATGTAAAAATTAAACAAAAAGTATTTTTGTAATTATATTAACCGAAAAACTTGAATCCAACAAGTAAAGACCGGAAATTATGGTTAACCTCAGGTATTTTCAAAAGAGAAGGGAAAAGAATCGCTATAAATTCAACAAGGTACATTTGGTACACAATATAACACTATACGGCACAATGGACAATATGATAAAGTCATTTTTCTTCTTTTAATCCTGTCCATTTCAGTCCAAGATTTTCACATGAGAAGGAAAAATATAGCTACAATTTTTTATCGCTCTCTCTTGTATAGGTGAACTTGGATCATTCAATTCTTCGGAATAAGAAGGATCCACTGGGAAGACCAGCGTAGTATCTTCATTAGCCAGAAGGAATTAGGTTAAATTTATAAAGGGCGTGTTTGATACACTATAATGGAGTAAACAGAATATATTTTAACTTCTTATACAGGTCGTGTTTGATACACTATCATGGAAATTTACTAGAAATTTCTAGAAATGTACATACCAGAATTTTCAACTATCAATCATTTCCACTACAAATGAACAAAAAGTAGAACAATTCACAGAAAATAATTAGTGGGGTTAAACCTTCAACTCGAGAAAACCCAAAATCAAAATTATATATCAATTTCCACCCAATATCCCCTTCAAAACACAATCAAACACCACATGCATACAAAAAACCAAAAACCCAATCAATAATTATTAAATTTTTTAACAAATCTAATGAACAATTCAAGAGATAGAAGTACCCTTTTGGATAAACATCGCCAGTGACAGGAAAAAACACAGAGGACCCAAATCCTTTCCCCGATTTTGACTGTTTCTTGCTGGTGGTTTGAGGCTGATGGGCAGCTGTAGCAGACCATGCCAAAAAGTACAACAACAATGCTCGAATGTACTTCTTTTCAACCATCCTTTGATTGATGTTCATTGAAATAGAGTGTGCTAAAATGGAAAAAAAAAAACGCTTCTCGTGTACAAATTTTCTCTCTTTTCCAACCAAAAACAGAGAGACTTTTTGCGAAGATTCACAGTCAGTATGGAGAATTGACTGGCTCAAACTTTTCACAAATGGCTTTTAGAGTTGCCCTTGAAAATTTCACGCGGAATATACACGTTTGCTTATATGCATGTATAGATTGGAATTTTGGGTGTATATAGGGTGGTTTGGTGTTTATGGGGTGGTGGAAATGGGGCTTGTTCTCTTAGGGGTCTTTGACCTTTTGTCGGGGTGACTGTCAAGTCCTCAACCTTTCATTTTTGCACCCATATCTACATCCTTTTTACATTGAGCACATAATAATCTCATTTAATGAAAAATATTTATTTAGTTGTTAAACCATTAGTCGACACGCACGTGATATTTGATATGATGGATTGATTCTTCTGTAACTGTTAAAATGCATTATTATCATGTGTTGATACTAAGAGCTTGTTTGTCTCCCATTATGGGAGAAATAATGATGTTTTGAATAGTATTTTTTGGAGAATATGTGGTTAAAATCGAAAGAAACTTTATTGGTTTATATGTAAAATATTTTATTATTTGAATATATGGTGGAAATTGATTATAGAAAATAATGTTAACAGGGGCTAATGTTCAAGATGGAGGAAAAAATTATGTCCTTTAGTCAGACATCACGTACATGTCTCGTGGTCATGTAACTTTTAAATAGGGGTTTTCCGTATGTACGGATTCTGAAGGCAATGTTAAAAAGTTGGGAACATGTGTGCACAAATGGAATGTTGGGGACCCGGTTGCCACACTTACAAAAGATTGGGAACCTCTAAAGGAGTTTGCCCTTGTTTAAATAATGGAAAATTGCACTATTGAACCTCGTGTTATTGTTTGAATAGAAAATTGGTCCCCAACTTTCAAATAAAAGTTACTCCTCAACCATTCATTATAATTGAAGAACCGTCTAAAACTATACTAAATTGCCAAGTGGTCTCATCCGTTCAATTTTAAGAAGTTAAATTCCTTTTTATTTTTATCTTAGTGTAATTCATAGATATTTGAGTGAGACGTGTTTCATTTTATTTCAGTCATGAAGATGTAATGAAAATTTGAGTGGCCTCGTGTTTTCATTTAAATGAAAATTTCGGACCCTAAGGTTTGATTGTGTAAATGTAATCGAAGAGCGATGATTGTTTCTCTCTATTTAAATGTTTGTGAAAATCAATTCATTATTCGGTCAATAAGTTGAGGACTTATCTTTCAGGATTGATTGTGCAACTATAATAGTGAGGTGATTATTATTTTGTTTCTTTTTAAAGGTTAGGGACTAACTTGTTACTTGTCAAACAAGTTGAGGACCATTCTTGCAAGTTTCTCATATAGATGGAATTGGGACGCATCATATATTTATATTTATTATTTTATATATGGGTAGCGTGAGGTGGGGAAGACTATTGTGGGGATTGCTAGGAACTTTCCTGGACTATGATTACTTGGGGGAAAATAAATCATTTTGAACAACTCAACATTGGGAAAATAAAAAATTCATAATTAGCATAGAAATGGTCAATGTTACTTTTTGTGAAACTACTTGCATAAAGAGGTTATCATATATTTGAGTATCTATTCCAGGACTGTTAAGTCTGCTGGTGTACAAAGTATCTTGGCTGAGGTATTACCAATGAAAGAATCATTTCACATAAATGTCAATCGCCTCAGACATGCACTACAGCTCGAGCATGTTGCAAACCTTGCACAATCTATTTTATTGTTTATTGCTTAGCTGATGGACGCATTGCTTACCTCATAGGCAAACGTTTAATATAATTCAGCTTGTGTTTGAATCTAATTTTGAGAATAATAGAAATTTTGGAATAGTGATTAATGTGAGAATGTGCGTTGGAAAAGTAATGAATTTTTTTTGATTTGTATGTAATATTATTTTATTTGGAGAATGTGCGATTGAAATGAGGAATGAGAATGAGGATGTGAATGTGAATGTGAATGTAAATGAGAAAGAGAAATTAACGGGTGTCAAACGGGGGCTCAGTCTAATTGTTTATAGTTTATTAATTGGAACACATTTAGTATTGATTTTAAATGCTCATAAACATTGGATTCAGGGTTTTACCCGAAAATTTTGAGGCCCTAGGATTTATTATGAGGCTCTTATATATAATTTTTTACAAGTATAGCAATACCAAGTATTTAAATAAATAGCATACTTTTATTTAAATGG